ACCACTAAGAAAAGTATCCCCATTACATATGGCTATATTTCTAAAATAATTTTAGTTAGGAGTGTCAGGGTTAAAGAGGTCTAAATCAAAGTAAATGAAACACTTTTTAGATTCTTATTTGTAAAAATGGAAATATTAATGTCCTTGCACTATGCATGTACTGTATGCACTACTTTGTGTTGATCCATTGCTGAGTCAGAGTAAAACACATTACCTTTAGCATTTATCTTCTTGCCTTAGACTTAATGGATTGTCCCCTTTCAAATATTTGGAGCCCTGATCCATAACCTGAAACCATCTCCAACGAAACTGAACCTCTAAATATTTTAATGTGTTTGTGAGGAACATGTTGTCATCGTTGGTTTATTCGGGTTTTTTTCAGACTGAATGGCCATTCTGTGATAAGTCTTTCACAATCAGAAGTAGCCACAAAGCTACTGAGGCTGCTGAAAACTCTAAACAGTCTTTGCTCAACTGCCTCTGTCCTGCTCCCTCCAAGTGAGTAAACTATCCTATTCTGGACAAAAATGATACGTTTATTTCCTTTTCTTGCATATTGCAAACGTTCGCTCAAAAATTGAATTTGATGCCCTGCAGCAGGATGGAAATTTAGCAGAATAACTTGTTTCCCCAACCTTTTTCTACCTTAATGAATGGCAAAATAAGATAACTGTAGGAGATACAGCCAGCCATCTCTTTCATTTACAGCTCATCACTTCATGCTAACAGTACAAAGTTCAAGGCTCGTAGATAGTGTGTGAATGCAAGAACATGAATATCTAATAAAATATTGCCCTGTACCATTATGCAACATTTCTCAAGGCATTAGATCAAATACATCAAATACTGTGAGGCCTTACCAGATGTTGCTGATCTTAACAACTCATTTTCACAGTGCAATCTGCCCAAAAGAAAACATTTATTCTTTAAGAGCCTGTAGAAAAAAGATTAAATCATATATCCACTCTTTATTCACGAGGGCAATGATAAATTTGGAATGTCAGCCTGGCAGTTTTAATATTGTCATTGATGTGTCCCAGATGATTAGCGGTTAATCAGCTGCAAATATACCTAATTACTAGATTAATCTCCAACTAATTAGTCAACCTGCTAATGGGTTTGATCTACCACTGAAGTCTACTGAATTCTAATTAGTTAATAACAGCCTCGATTTACCAAGAGGCCCATCTTATGGGTCATTAACAAACTAGTTACTCTCTGTATAAACTGAATGCAGCAAGCAACACAAATCCCACCAGGAGAGCAGCTGTGAAGGCTTAATGGCTATGGTGTGAGGCATTTTCATGCATCATGAAAAACAATGTATGCTCTAAAAATAATAAAGTCACACAGACGATTTACTTATGAACACCAATGTTCAGCAACTATGCAAGATCTGTAATCTAAAAGAAACATTAGCTTTTGTTTTATGGTTTGGTTTACTTTTACTTCCTGAAATTTGTTAAAATGCAATATATTGAATAAATTACCATGACTTAACAAGAAGTAGTTTTTATGAAAATCAGTTAATTAATTTTATATAACCATTAGATTTCCTCTAATAAAAATCATACATAATGGTTTGCAAACATAAATTAACCTCACTACTATAAGGTAAAATGTCACTTTCTAAGTTAAATAACAACCCCATGCTTTTAATGAAAGTAAAAAATTATTTTTTGCTTAATTAGCCTTATCTCCTTGTATTAAGTTAAGTGAAAAAATAAAGAACAGGGGTCTCCTTTATAAAAGGGGCATACACACAAAAAAAACCCTGAAACCATCATGTGTAACTATCAAAGCAGAGGTTTTGTTATACAGAACATAAAAAGCTAATTTTAAGATAGAATGTTTAGTCTCTTAAACAAACTTGAGCCCATGCAGTTGTGCCCGCTGGTCTCCGAAACATTGGAGTTGTAGTGGTGTTAATTAAATCCAATTGTAGAGTATTGCATTAACAAATGTTGAAACACATTAAACAATTTACTACAACTAGTAAAAATTGCTGTTTTGAAGTTGTCTGATATAAAAAACTCCAGAAACCTCAACATGAGTTTAGCACAAAATGACTATTCTAACTGAATGATTGCCCCTCCCTCGCTTGTCTGAGTCTCATTTGAAAAACCTCCCCTCTGTTGGGTCACTGTCAGTCAAAAATAATTAGGCATTTTCTGCCAATCAGCATCGAGCAGCCAGCTTCATGACCTGCCTCTGGCCCTGCCCCTGCTTTATAGACCCCATAAGAGCCTCAGCCTCACTGGAAGTGACTATTTTTGCTTATTACCCAATCAGGGTCCTGCTTTCCCAGTACTTTCTAAAATATTTTTTTAAATACACAGAGGCTCAGGCAAAATTCCTTTACAAAATTACACCTGAGGTTTTGCCTTCCTAGTATTCAATCAGAAAAACAGATAATGTTGACCTAGATGTTGAGGTGGGGAGTTCAATTCCCCCTACATTATGATTCCTCTGACATTCATGGTCACTCTTTGTCAAACTTGAATCATCCATGAACTTTATCATAAGCATTCAAAACCCCAGTGTGAAACACAACTGTGCTACTTAGTCATATGGAGTGTTTGACAAAAATAAAAACGGCCCTACAAGCTAGCTACAATATTTAAACTTTTTCCTCATCATCTCATTCATCTCCTCGAATTACTAAGGTGAGTTCTACCAAAGATTATCACTTTAATTGTTACAAGATGTAAGGCAATCAAATTAATTGCTGCCAGAAGAGTACATCTATTACATTTAAATACAGTATTAATACAAGTGTGAAATGCTCTATGAAGATGCATTGGCACTGCTGGATTACTTTGCAAACTGGAGACTAAGGAGGAAATGTCTTTCTAGGGATCAATTATATTTCATGGCCCATGATGATGAGTGCCTTATAAGCAAATATCCACTTCCTATGGTATGGCTTTTGGATTGTTAAGTACAGAGTTGGTGTGAGTCACCTGACAATCAACCATGGAGTCTGGTCTACAACTGAAAAATCCGCAATTGTGTTATCTCCAAGTGAAATGGCACTCTCCTGCAGGAGCAACTGCTTTTGTTTCTCTTTAAAGTTTCAGAGGAATTGGAAGGCATAGCAGAAATCGGAATTTAGTAAATAAAGACATTTAAAGTCAAAGGGGAAATGGCTGTTTCAACCGTGGCATTTCCGAATTCTCCCGAGTGGTGCATGACTTTACATGAGTAAATAAAGTGAATGTAATTGGTCAAGAGGGCGGGATTGTTCCGGCGGAAGTTTCGCAAGCAAGTTTGATTGTGGCCGATTTCTCGGAAACATCTTGCTAACCAGTTAGCAACTTGGTGCTAGTAGGTTCCCAATGTAAATTACATTGGGACCAAGTAGCACTAAATTGCTGACTTAGAAACGACACTGTCAAGGAACGCCATGGACAGTGGAAACATGCAAGAGGAGGAGAGTTTTGTGTTGGAGGTTGTGGATGAGTCTCCTCCGTCATACATTTTTTATTTAGAGGAGGAAAGCAGGGATGAAGTTGTTGTGGAAGAGGACGCTAGGGTGGCAGAAGCTTGGTTTGGTTTAGAAGGCTTACAGCCGTACATGTTTGAGCCCTTGCCTCGCAACACTGCCAGTTCTGCTCTAC